AGGCGGCCCCCCGTGCCCAGACACCCTGTACCTTCTCAGCAAAGATGTGGGCTCCCCGGGCAGCTGCTGCATTAGCGATGGCTTGGGACAGGGCCCCCATCCCACCGGCCACGTAGCCCCAGGCCCCCCGCTGTCCATCCAGCTCGCCCATCACATGGTGCAACAGCACATACCTGTGGTGGCAGGACTTCAGGTTAGCTGCTGGCCGAGGGGATGGCTCTGTGCACTGCATAGGCATAGTGAGGATGATGCCATGGCCCCCATAGATGGGACTATGCCAGCTCATAGGATGCCAACTCAGTTACACGGAGCACCCACCGGCCAGGACTTGACCTGGGCAGGTAGGGGCCACTCAGGAGAGCCATATGGCAGGGATGGAGGGCAGCCCATTGCTCAGCCCCAACCCCTGAGCCACCCTGGCAAGGCTGAGTGGGCAGTGGGAGGGAGAGGCAGCGGGGCAGGGCATAGGGTACTAGGCGGCAGCAGAAGAGAGTAGTTACTGGCACAAAGGATGGCATGGGGGGACAGTTCAGCCATGAGTCCCAGGAGGAAGAGAACCCTCACCCACTGCCAGGGGTGTGGGGGCTGGCCATGGCTCCAATCACTGCGTCAGTAGCCAGAGTAGCCTTCAGGGGCTCCGACTCAAACCACTGATCCAGGATCTGGCGCAGAAGAAAAAAAGCGCGTCAGGGTCGGGGCCTGCCACGGGGCCCTGCCACAGCACCCTCACAGGCAGGCAGTGAGGTGGCCGGTGGCTCCACACTGCTACTGCTGGCACCCACCTTGGAGATGGGGGCTGTGAGCACCTCGTAATAGCGGGGCAGCCGCTGCCCCAGTGCCCGCCCTGAAGTTGGAGAGGTTGTGTGAGAGCTGCATGACTGTGTTGGGGACAGCTGACCATGCCCGGATGGGTTTGGGGGTCAAGCAGTGGGAAGAAGGTGGGCAAGCCTGCCAGAGCCTGCCCTGGGAAGATGCAGGTCTGCATGACCCACCCCAGGTGCAGGCCAACACCCATTGCCATCAGGGTCTCCCAGCATCCCAGACGTACCTGCCTGCAGCAGGGGCTGCAGGCCTCGCAGGGCCCTGAGCCGCTGGAGCAGGGACCCCTGCCCCAGGGCAGCTGTATCCACCGGGGGGGCATCCAGCAGCGGGTTGAGGGCTGACACCAAGCCCCCCATGAACGCCTCGTACCCAGGGTAAGCCTGAAAGTGGACAGAGGGGCGACAACTGGGACTGCTCCATGGTGGGTGCAACGGATATCCCACCCAGGAGCATCCCTGCTGCTCCATAATTGGGGCACCCCCTCGGGGACTTTGCCATGCTGGGTGCATGCCCCCACAGTACCTGGGCATCCTTCTGGGAGAACTGAGCGATCTGCTGCTGGGTCTGGGTCATGTCATGCCCCAGCAGGAGAGAGCGGGGGGGATTCCTGTCCTCCAGCAGTGGGGTGAAAGAGTAGGGGTCCCGTGGGAGCACCCTCAGACCGTGCCGCTGCAAGACAGGGATGGCAGGACCCACCCTGCGGGAACAGCCTGGCAGTGGGCTCACCCTGCCAGCATTGCCAGTAGGTGCTGGCAGCCTGGTGAAGGATGGGTGCCGGTACCTGCAGCTCCAGCTCAGCGTAGATCTGAGGCCGCAGCAGGCTGAGCAGGTATGATGCCCGGGAGAACTTGAAGCCTGGAAGACACGGGGTGATGGTGGGGTGCCTGTGCCCAGGTCTGGCTGGGGTGGAGAGACAGTGGGCATGCAGGCGTACCTGGCACGATCTCCTCTGTGACGGCTGCACCGCCCAGCACGTGGCGTTTCTCCAGCACGGCTGTGCGCATCCCTGCCCGCTGCAGGTAGGCAGCCTGTGGGAGTACAGCATCACACTGCCCACCTCTCCGGGTGGGATTTGTCCTCATCGCCCGAGCACCCTCTTGCACATGGTGCCGCCCTTAACAGGGAAGGCTCTGCTCCCCACAGCCCTGTGGGAGCCCCCAGCCCCATGGGCACTGCCACCAACACCCTCCCTTGCCCACGGTGCAGACCCTCTCCAGTCCCCTGATGCCCCTGGGGACAGAGGAGAGACAGCACCCCGTTCTTGGTACTCACTGCCACCAGCCCGTTGTGCCCTGCAAGGAGAGAGGTAGGTGAGCCGAGCCTGGGGGGGGGGCAGTC